TTTAAAGATCCCCTCCAGATATGTATACAAATAGTCTGCTTGGAACAATAATGTGTGTCTTTTCTGCAAAAAAGGAGGTAAAAAAAAGGCATCTAGTCCTTCTACCTCATTAAAAATGTGAGAATCTAGTGTGCAAATGTTGCAAATGCAAATCATTTCTAAAGTTTTCCTGCTGGACACAAGAAGTCTCCATCCAAGTCCATTTTCACTGTGTGTGCACTGGTGGCTTCAGGTTTCTACATCACGCATACTGGACCAGGACTGTTTACCAAACTATTTGGGATGTCACAAATCACACTTGTAGGCTCTGCGGCTTAAAATCTGATTTTCAATGAGCACAGACGAACTCTGCACAGACATCATTCAAACATCACACTGTAGGAACAAGAAGAAACACTGATTTGTGAATGGAAGGAAAGTAACCTGCTGGAAAGTAACACTATTTACAGTTACCATATACTTGAATATTTCTATTTCATGCAACTGCACTCATCCTACTACATTTATCTGACGCCTTAACATGTTACTTTTAGATAAGCAGTTTCTTTTTAAGCTGCTGTGTTGTCAGTATCAAACGCATAGTCAAGTGTCTCTGTCATGTTTTAAGATTTTTCATGATTTTTTTTTTTTTTTTTTCTGATGTTGATGCGAGTCAAAGGGTTGCAGCAATGTGCCCAAGACACATTTCCCCTCTGGGACACTACTCTACTCCCACTACTCTATGTATATCCTGTTTGTTTAATCCATTCAGAAACTGAATGTAAAAGTGAATGAATTTTCGATCTACAGATGGAAAAAAGTACCAGACAATTTCTAGAGGATACCTACTTGATTTGTCACAGACTGTTGCAGCCTCATTAACTTCAGATAAACTTTGGAAATGCACTGTATCTTTGCACAGAGTGAGGACTGGGATTGTGTTACATTGGAAATGCATCTCTTAATGTACAGTATGAACAGGAGAAATGATAACAGGAGGCAACACCTGTTTCAGTGTTCATATGGGCATCTGATTATTGGATCAAAGGTCAGAGTGTGTAACATTTAGGAGGATCTATTGCTATTGCTAGGAATGTAATGTAATGTTCATAGGTATGTTTTCATTGATGTCCCCTAATCACCAAAAAATCAGAATTGTTGTGTGTTTGTGTTTTCTTTGACCCCTGAGACATTTTTATCTTCAGACAGAGTGTCTCCTCATCCACAGAGTCTACAGTGTTTCTCCAGTAGTCCCGAACAGGTAAACTAAAGATAGGGGCCTTTGGAGGCCACCGTCATTTTTCCTATACTCTTGGAAGGCCGAGCTGTATTCTAATGGTTGCAGTCTGCAACTTCACCGCTAGATACGACTGAATCCCGCACACTGGTCCTTTAAGACCAACTTGAAAACTTGTGAAGCAAAAACCAGAATCACAACTGAGAACTGCATCAGTATGATCCTTGTCTTTTCGCCTGTAGTACAAATAACAGCTTTAGGTTATAATTGCATTAATTAATTAATTGTCACAAAAAAAGTAATTTGATAAACAAAATTGCAGCTATGGAGACACACATCATCACACATGAATATAATTAGGCTCACTGAAACCACAAGTCTCGACTTTCCAGTCATACCCAATTCTGCAATTCCAGTACTGTTTGGGACCCCAGTATGCAGAAATACTCAAATGGGTTCTAATATTATTGCCTTCCTAAGGATGTACAAGAGACTTTGTTTCTGTTTACATTGCTGTGTAGGGAGAAAAAAAAAAACAGTGTATATGATGTGAATATATATATATGTTGTACATTTTCAATAAAAAATTGATCACAAAAAAAATATTTAATCATTAAACATCATGTTGTAATAAACAATTACGTTTACTTCATTCACTTGTCTCCACTGACTGAAACATGCAAGCTGATATTGACATGAAAACAGTGATATCACATTATCTATTCATTTCTGTACTTTCTTCAGGTATCTCTACTGTAGTTGAGTATGTAGTTTTTTCTTTTGGCCAAATCTCTTTCCATTCCCTTCATTTTCAAAATAGGTGCATTACTTTACTTTTAATGTATTTGAGGGAAATGATCAATAAACATTCATGTTTGCGTCATGTTGCACCTTCCCAACATTGAGACCATGCATATCACGCTTGACAGACAAAACAAGATAAAACAGACAAAGAGGGAGACTCTGTACTCTTTTTTTACACAAGTATCTGTAGTTCTGCTTGAGTAAAGTAAAGTTTTGCTCTGATCTTGTGTTTACTCTCTATAAGATGGACAAAGCATGCACAGTAGCTGCAACTGATGCACAAGTATTTTAATTTAATGTTTCCGTAGTGACCACATCCTCTAAAAATCATGTGCCTGAATGGGCCCTGCATGTGGTAGTGTGAGGCATGTTTTATTTGAGCTGTAAACCTGAAGCTTTCACACTGTGGGCATCATAACAGGCTCACCTTGTTTGCATAGAGGGCATGAAAGTCAACACTGGAGGTTTATTATGAGGACAGACAGTGTTCCTGGTTATGGTTTTGCATCTCCACCAAAAACAATAATGATATAACAACCACAGAAAAACATCTGTGTCTAATAAATCTAAATATCAGCCAAAGATGCTCCCATTTGTACCTTACCTACTATTTTCTCAAAAAGAGCAAAGAGGAACTGGAAGTACTGTGGGCAGAGTTGTGCTGTGAGAAGTTCACAATGTGGCTAGAGGTCTGACGACAGCATTTGACAAGTTGTTAGTTCCTTATCAAACAACTGCTTACCACTGACCTCTATCACTGTCTTTACACTCACTGCAACCATTTCACCACTAAAATGTCCCTGTAGTCTGGTTTATGCTGTGTGAACTAAAAGAGCTTTAAAGATTCATATATCTGAACACGTACAGTATATCTGTAGTCACATCTGTTTCCTTTAAGTAAATGTGGCTGTCTGTGTGCTAGGCTGGAAACTGGAAAAAAGGACAAGGAACTACGTTTACTGAGCTTTGGTTTGTAAATGAGCTGAGCAAGCTTTGACATTTGCATCTTGTCTCACAGTGAGTGACCACATCAGAGGACTTAAATGAAAGCTTCTTTTCTGAAGGCGTGCAGATCATTTTGGACACAGCACAACAACATTCAGGTTGTTAATGACAGGCTGTGTGAAAACTCTCTCAGCCATAAACGTAAGCTGGTATGAAATAATCAACAGCTACTATTATGCAGGTTACAGGAATCTGTTAATATATTAGACAGGTATCACCTCTTTTACCTCTAACTTTAAATAACACAGATAGCAAACCAACAACAACTACTTTCAGTCTCGGCCCGAGTGCAGCTTGAATGCGACGTGCGTGCTAACTTAAAGCAGTACTAATAGCAGCTTCACTCACAAAAACAATGTCGCGGCGGAAGTTAGAAGTGTCTGACATGAAATATAGAGCTCATAAGCATGAGTCAGTTCACACAGGCCAGGTAGGTTTATGTGCCAACCGCCCGTGCCTGTTGCCATTATATATGAGTTGAAACACTCCCTTTTTATCATGCATCACAGATCATGTAGTATGTGATTATGTCCAAAATTAAAAAATTAAAGCTAACATTTATTTAACTTGTCTTACTTTTTTGAAGTAATATAACATTTTATGGGTTCTATCTTTGGGGTAGCCTACATCCTATCTGGTCTCATAAAAGTACATTTTCAACACGTACAACAGTATATCTCAAGTCTCAAGTTTTGCATGCATTTAGTTGTGGTGGTTTCCATGTCCTTGTCACCTGCTTCATGACCGTCATTTCCAATATATTATAAAGATGTACGTTGGCCAGTTGTAGCCGTCCTCGTAATGTATTACTATAACATGTCTTCTAACTTCAAAGGTTCTTTTAAGTCAAGAATATACTTTCGGGCTCTCTCCACGTCTTTCCAAAACGATCCCAAATTGTTATTATATTGTATTTGGACATTTCCAATACTTACATGGCATCATGAAATATTTTCCCTCTTCTACGGATATATTTGTTTACTGTTCTATATTTTGCATATGAAGATTTACACAAGGAGGGTATTGAGAGGCGTGCATGAGTCATGCAAAATTGTTAGTCATCCACTTTGACTAACAAGCCTTACTCAACGCTCCTGTGGATGATTTGAATTTTGTTTGAAATATTTATTACAGTTTTAGGGACCCTCTCTGTAGGAGAGATGGATGAAGTTGGCTGGCAGGAGCAGAGGACAAAGGGGTGATGGTAGATGGCAGATGGTTTCCATTGATAAACACAACACAATCAAAGCCTTGTTGACATCTCTGTCTACAGGAACATGAGATGTGAGATGTTTTTTTGGTGCACATACGGTGGAAATTTTACAAGCACAGACCAGATAAAGAACAGCAGTAAACACATCAGCTGGTACCGATGTCCACCACGTTGGTTTCGATTGTTTTGATACACTCGCCGCTCACCTGCTGATGTTAAAACTGAATTGTGCTTTTTGGGTGATTTTATGAAACATACTGCTGGAGAAAGTGAACAGAGACACATACAGGGAGCTACAGAAAAGGTGGAGGTGGAGAGGGGCGAGCTGGTGTGTGTGTGTATGTGTGCAACAATAAAGACTAAACTGAGCATGTGCAGAGTGAATCAGGTGATTTGTAACTCATTCCTAATTGAAGAAATTGTGTTACAACCATCTCCGGTCTCCCCTACTTACTGTTACCCAATCCAAGATGTTCTCCTGAACCGAACCAACTAGTTCTGTGTTATGTAGGCCAACGTAAGTTACGGTACATTGCCTAACTTCAATATGTTACACAATAACGCATTAATGAAGTCAATGCTGACATTTGGTTTGGTACGAGATCTCCATCCATCCATCCCAACCACCTCCAATGTTCAACGTTGTCGCTCTATAAAATAAAGGTGTGCAAATAAAGGTGTGCTGGTAAACAAGCATGCAGGGGAGCAAGTAGGGAGGGCAAACACACACAAACACACACACACACACACACACACAGTAACACAGGAGAAAACAAGATACACAGAGGAAGAGAGACACATGCAAAATAACCAGAGGCACGGCAGTAGCTGGGACAATTTTGGATTTGGGAATCACGCACACTGGTCTGGTAATGAGGATTTTCATTCATTGTGTCAAACAACTGAAGAAAAAAGTGATTATTTACTGTTATTAAAATGTAATGAATTTAAAGAATGCAGCCAAACAGATATTGTTTGATTGGGCGGCGTCTGAACCCTCTGGCTACATCCTGCTATGCTTTGATTCACGTCATTCATACCTTACACACTTTAAGAGAACACAAGAGGAGTGCAGGCGCTAACTTGCCTTTCACCTTTAAGGAGAAATTGACCGAGGGAATATTGTTTGCAGCTGACTCAGGATCTGCTGCTGCTTCGTCTCCACTCTCAGTAAGCATTTGTTTGTTGTCACATGACAGGTGGTCTTCTGGGGTTGTGGTGACAATGTCACAGTCACTTTTCAGGAACTTATTTTCAGTTTCACTGCTATTTACTTGAATGTGTCTGATCAGTTTCCTGTCACTCTGCCAGCGACCCTATCCGATCAAGAAGCAGCTGTCAGCACGTTTAAGTTGCTGTCAGTGTCTTGTAATAACCTACAATAATTATGGATATAAAAGCAGTTTTTCAGTCTATTTCTTGAAGAACGTCTGACCTGTATTTTGTTTCCCATCTGAAACCAGCCTGAGGTTGAAACGTCAGAGTCAGGACAAGAGAGGTACTCTTTCCATTCATTCGATACAGAGCAGTGAGTTGTTCCTCACTTTAGGTCGGAATGGAAAACAAATTCACATCTATCTGATATCGTCTTGCTTGGTAGGTTTTGCTTATTTGCATGTTTACTACTCTTAGTTCAGTCATCCACTTTTATACCTGTGTTGTTAAAAGCAGTTTATTTGTGAGAAAGTGAAACCTTCTGTTATACGTGTCGGTAGATCTTTGCTTTGGTTGTAATAGACACAGCAGAGCACCCACAAGAGAACAGCTGTGATTGCAGATTGTATAAAACTAAACAAACGAGTGCACTTAAGGAACCGCTGTTACAATGCCGGGGGCCGGTCACAGTGGCGTGCACCAGACCAAATTTAGCTATGAGAGAGGAGGCCATCTTGAATTCTGCCAAACAGGCCGCTTATGGTCCTTTAGCAAGTGGGCTAACACAGCCATGCTCACAAGTCCTGTTTGAAGTCCTTTTCAGCCCGTTTAGTATATTTTCATTATATTTTCATGCCATGTCTGGCAGTCCTTAAGTTAGTCTGTTGTTCTTTGTAAAAGTTAGGAAGACAGTTGTGGAGGTTTGAAAGTATGAGAGCAGGAGGTAAACACATCTTCTGTCATATATATATATATATAATATATTACACTTATATTTTTAAAGTCAGTTGAGAGTAACTGGATAACTTGAATGAGTTCATGTATTTGGCCAATAAAGCTGATTCTGTTGTTCAAGCTCATTAATATTTAAAGACATCAGAGAACTGGACCCAGTCTCACCAGCAGGTCTGGAGTAAAACTGTCGAACCAGATGTCATTAGTCCTGTGGTATTCTTCTTTTGACACAAGCTGCGAGAGTTTTTTCACTGTCGAGACATTTCCACTTTGTTCTTGGTCTTCACTCAGGGACAGAGTGAGACTTGGTGTCCTCTCTTATAGTGTAAACTTGATATTACTGATACTTAATCTCTTATTCAGGGTGACTTAAACACTCCAGTCCCTATTTCCTGCTCCTGCACTACTGTAATAGTTACAGCCTGCTGATTGTAAAGGCAGGGCCACTAACCTGCTGCCTGTCTGTCTTTTCTTTACAGCACTCAGAGGTGGATGTGCCAAGAGGAAGAACAACCGTGCTCAGGTGTGGCACAATTTTATAGGGTGAGTGAGCTATTTTACTATGACCTAATACTTCTTCATCACCCTTTTCTAAACCGGCACTACAATAATTAGTCTTCCTCAGACACATTACCCACTCAGGGTTTGTTATGTTTTATCTTTGTTTTACAGTTCAGACATGTGTTCTACAAGCCTGCTACTACTACTACTACTATCTGGTGAGGTATTTATTTTGGTATTCATTCATTCCCTGACAGGACAACACACTGTAACTAGACACAGCTGGTTTGACCTGTCTCAATTGTAGCAACAGGGTTGTCATTCATTCATTTCACATTCAGTAAAAGTCATTTTGATGTAATGTCTACGATGTGGTGTTGATTTGTTTCCAGACAGACAGGGCAGCTGAGACAAAACTTTTTAAGTCTCTCAGCCTCCTCTGATCAAATAGAACAACCTGTAAAGGGCTTTGCTTTGCTTCAGGTTTCTCATGATGAAAGTCAATGTGCAACACTGATCTGGAGATCCTACAGAATATATTAGTTTATTGTTTGTGGATTAAATATGTTTATGTCAATATAATGGAAACAGTAACGTTTTGATTTTGAAGTTCTGAATTTGGCTTTGATTGTTTAAACACTCAAAAAAACTAAAGTATTTTTTTTATTATCATTTGTGTCTCCTGTTTTCTCTGCTGCCTGGATGCTCATATTAACATTACAGCATAACATTAACTGAACACATCGGCCATGTATCTCAGTTCACTTTGGAAATTTCAGATGAACCTAGAGATTGAGATTATTGGGTTAAGAAAATCTTCCTACTCAGCTGCGTCTGATACTGATAGTTGTACGGGGTGATGATAAGTTGATTCACTTAAAAGAGTTAGATCAAAGATCGTTATCATAATGTATATAAAGCTATAGCCAGCAGAAAGTTACCTTAGCTTAGCATTAAGATAGCTAACCAAGACTGAAGGGGGGGGCAGCTAACGTTAGCCTGTTCCAAGGTGACAAACACCTACTAGCATCTATATCTTTAGCGAGATCACTAAGTAAACATTAAGCGTACAACCGTAGCGTACAACCACACTGCAGCGTTTGACAAGAGAAGTTATTTCCCCGTGTCTTTATGCTCAGCTACTGTAGCTAAATGAAACTGAACATAGCTAACTAGCTGCTGGCTGTAGCTTTATATTTAATGTCAAGATGGGCGATACCGGACAATCTAAGATCTCAGCACCTACCGATCATCTGGGACATTGTAAATGCAATGTAGCTGCTTGAACGGTGACCAGAACGGCCACTAAGATGTACACTGCTTACTTTAAGGACACTCACCTGAAGCACAGTTTCTCCTCCTGACAAATATTTCATTGTTCTCTTTTTCTAGCATCCACCATCGGTCAGATCTCAGGGCAGTTCCTCAGTGCCACTGTTGGAGGCTCCGTCCTGATCCCCTGCTCTCTACCAGTTCCTCCACTGAGACTCAAATGGTTTTACTGGCAGGAGGACCAGTCCAATAAGATCTTGTTTCACTGGGACCCCAATGGGCAAACAATACCAATAGCTGAGGAATATAAGAACAGATGTCAAGTCTTCCCTACTGAGTTTAGTTCTGGAAATATTTCCATTAGACTTGACAATGTTACTGTTGGAGATGACAACAAAACATTCTGGGCCAATGTACGTTTAATGGACGAGAAAGAATCTGAACGACGTTGCACATTCACACTGCAGGTTTCAGGTGAGTACAGTAGCTTCTTTATTCCAAACCAAAATAAAAATCTCCTCATATCAAAGTGCTGTGAATGTCTCCAGTGTGTCAACAGTTGTTCTTTCTGTCACTCTCACAGCTCCCTACCAACATCTAGTCCTGACTGTTAACAACACAGCTAACAGAGCAACCTGCACAGCACATGGAGGATACCCTGAACCTAAAGTGTCATGGACGGGTCGAAACAAATCCAGCACTGCACAGCTGGACCTGCAGGATGCGGAGACGTCCCTGCAGCAGGATCCAACAGAGAAAACCTTCTCAGTCACAAGCTCTGTCAGTATGAAGGAGTTCCAGTCTGTAACCTGCATCATCTTCAACCCTCGCACCAACCAGACGATTAAAGGAACTGCAGAGATCAATGATTCTGGTGAGAGCAGCAGATCATTAATATAAGTTAATGAGGCCTCGAAACACAATGTAAAAGTGGTTATCGTATTTCATTGAAACAATATCATTTCCATAAACAGAGTTCATTATTAACAAACAATAACGAAGCTTGCTCTAAATGAGTCATAGTCAGTTTCAGTTAATTGATTCATGTAATAAATCAGTTCCTGAAGATTTTGGAAGCTGAAAGATTTGAGTATCCTTAAGGTACTACGTAACAAGCAAACACAGTAGTGTCGGTGCAGAATATCAAATCATTTATTATCTGCAATTTCCCCTCATTTACAGGTAAAGACACGCAAAGTAAACATGATTGGACTACTGGAGAAATTGCAGGGTTGGTAATCGGCATCCTCATCCTCATCGCCATCATATGTGTGTGCCTCTACAGAATATGTGAGTGATGTTAGTTTTAAGGGGGGATGGGGATGACATGCAGCAAAGGCCATAGGTCTGATGCAGGGGCCGATGGCTGCTGCAGCACATACTCTATGTTGTAGTTAAGAACACGCAAACTAATTAAGTAATTCGTCTATATATGTTTACGGACTAGCACTACACTGCTGGGGTTGTTTGTATCATCATGGCATAAAAACATTCTCCTTAATTCCAGATATAAGGTGTGTCCAGAATCTACAAGACCCACCAAATGCAAATGAAGACCCAGCTGAAGGAAATGTTCTTGATGTTCTGCTCAACGTGTCAGGACAAAATCAACCTGAGGAAAATATTCCACGAAGGAGGAGGAATGGTGCTGAAAGCTCGACTGATGAGGATGCAGCTACTGGTGGAGGTGGTGCTTCTGGTGGTGCTGATGCAGAACATGACAAAAGCAGTTAAATGGAGATTTAAATTAATTTTATTTATTTATCTATTTACACATTTCTTGCAAAATCATTTTCTTATTTTGAGTTTGTATCTCTTTCTAATCTCTTTCTAAATTGTGGGGATAGAGTTTCCTTGTTACATTGTGGGTGGTGTTATCATTGAGTGTTTTATTGATTACAGTTATTACTTTGTGTGTATGGGGTTGTTTTTAGGGTGTGAAGCATTTTGTTTGAATGAAAAGTCTATATTATTACAACCACTGTGTGACTATACAAATAAAGTATGAATCATAACTGGGATCAGAAATGGTGCTGGAAGGGAGGCAAAACAGGAGTTAAAGAACTACAGTAGTTTAAACTGGTATCAAACTTTTTAGATGTCGTTTTAAAAAATAAAGTTACAGAAAGAAACTAACTGATCAACACCTCAGACGTGTGCTTTATCAATATCAGGTGCTATTTTCTACAGATGTTCAGTTATTTGGGTCCAAAGAACCACAATGGTTTAAATGGTTAAATTATTCTTGTTTTTGCTATAAATGTCTGACAGTGTCCTTGTTAATATGTAACTGCAAACATTTTATATCCTTTATCTTGAATTTAATTTTCAATTTCAATTGTTAAAGTTTTACAACGGTATAACAGTTTTAAGAGAAAATCTGTGCTGTTATCATTGAATGTTTTACATTTATCAGTTTTGTTTTTGTGAACAGTGTATACTATAGTGTATGTAACTATACAAATAAAGTGTGATTGATTGATTGATTGATGTATTTTATTGAACCTCTGTACAATAGACATGTTGTGGTTTATCTGTGTCCTGACTGTTAACAACACAGCTAACAGAGCAACCTGCACCGCACATGGAGGATACCCTGAACCTGAACTCAAATGGAGCGGGGATGGAGGGACTAAACTGGAACCACAAAAAACCACAATGACTCGTGAAGCAGACCTCACCTACAACATCAGCAGCAGAGTCAACGTCACTGGGTTACAGAACGTGACCTGCACAGTTTACAACCCAACTTCAAACCAGACTCTGACTGCAACTAAAGATGTGTCTCCAGGTGCTTCAATGTTTACTTTTCATTTTTTAATGTGTGATGATCGTTTCATCTGCCTGCCATCTACTTACTGTGCTGTGTCTGTAAAATGGACATGAAGTCAAATAGAAAGGGCTGCTGAAGTTTTAACTTATTTTGAGGCCCATTTATAAAGAAGTTCTCTGTGTCAAAATCAAGTTTTAATACTTTTAATATTTCAATTGATATTATATTTATAGTGCAGATTTCTGTGGGATGGTATTATCACTGACATAAAGTTTCTCTTTTTATTGTTTTCTGTTTGAAGATTTGTGGAGCTGAAAGAATTCAGTATTCTTGTGGCACTACATACCAAACACACAGTACATTAATGTGTTTAAAATGTGATCAAATATCAGTGCAGCATGTTAAATACGTTCTTACTCTGTTATTTCACATAATTTACAGCTGAGGAACCAAAGAGCGACACTTCTTTGGCTGTTGGATTAGGTGTTGGCCTACCTCTTTCCATCATCATCATCATCATCATCATCATCATCACACTTCTCATAGTGTACTGGGACAGAATATGTGAGTGATCTTAGTTCATTCTATATTGTAATTCTTATTTTAAATATAAATATATCATCAACTGGTGAAAAGGAATGCACTCAAATAGCAAACAGAAACCTTGTGACCTGAAATGGATAAACACAATTTGGCTGTTGTTAATCTCCTGTTAATATCTTTATTTTAGCAGAATTTCATGAATTAATTTGATTTGATTTGATGCTTAAACTCCTTAAATCACACATTAAATTGCAGATTATTATTGCTTACTATACTGTCAGACAAATTCCTGTAAACTATGGACTGTAAATAATAATCAAACTATTAACTTTTCTAACTTTAACTTTTTATCAAACAAACTGGTTCAAGTGGATAAGAAAGCTGAGTGAACACACACTGCAGTTTCTCTGAACATCCCAATTCTTTAAAGAGTCAGAGTGCAGTATCTGAACTTTTAGACATTGTTTATGGACTAGCACTACACTGCTGGAGTTGTTTGTACCATCATGACATGAAAAAAATGCTCTTTAATTCCAGATATAAGGTGTGTCCAGAATCCACAAAACCAACAAAACCAAAGAAATGTTCCTGATGCTCAGCCCAACGTGTCAGGACAAAATCAACCTGAGGAGAATATTCCACTAAGGAGGAGGAATGGTGGTGAAAGCTCGACTGATGAGGATGCAGATTCTGGTGGTCGAGCTGCTTCTGGTGGTGCTGATGCAGAACATGACAAATGCAGTTAAATGGAGATTTAATTGAATGGAATTTTATTTTATTTTTTTTTATCTGGTTATACATTTCCATCTGTTTTATTACCTGCTAAATAATTTTCTTATTTTGAGTTTTTATCTCTTTCTAATCCGGCCTCTAGTGTGTCCTCTAGCATTTCCTTGTTTTATTATGGCTGCTGTTACAATTGAGTGTTTTATATATTACAGTTGTTACTTTTAGGGTTAGTGTTGGCTTTAACAGGGCTCGCTGTGTTAGAGTGGATGGTTGTGCTGGAGGCTCCTCAGCTGTCACAGTCACTGGCTGTCCCTGTCCAGTGACATCATCCCGTTTCCTGAAATCTTCCTCTTCAGACAGCCAATGGTACGATGCCCAGCTTGGACACAAACAAAGCAGTGAGGGCAGCTCACCTTGCTCTGTTGTACACAGTCACTGTATCTGCTGGTCTCAGATGTTGGCTGCTGAGGACGGGCTGTTGGTGAGCAGGGGTCTCCAGGGGTCTCCAGGGGTCTCACTGTCAGGAGGTTTCACCATCTGGGCCAGATGTTTGGTCAGTGAGGAAACTTGTGCAGTCAGTTCTCTAATAGCAGCACAGTTACCTGTAACTCAATGTTTAGTTAAAGCTTGGTTAGCTGAGTCACTACTGTGAAGCTGAGCTGTGCTTACAGTCACTGGTTGGAGTTTAGCTACTGAGCCAATGCTTTTAGTCTTTCTGCCTCTTCACCAGTAGACTTGGTCATTTTATCTAGGAGAAAGTCATTAACTTGCACGTCTGTGAGGAGGGGTTTAAGGTCATGTTGAACATGGATCTTTTTCTCATTTAACATTTGGTAAAGTGTGTGAGGAAAGGTACCTTTCATAGCTAAACTGTGCACCAGGCTGTGTGAGCTCTGGGCTCTCTTTGTCTTACTGTTTAACATTACTCAACTCTTGGAAACGTTCAGTACTGCCGACAAACAGCTTTAGTTCAGCTGTTAATTTGCTTTTATTAGTTAACATTTCCGTTCATGTACACTGGATGCGTTGGTTGTCTATGGTTGGTATAGTTGTGGTCAGGATGTGGTGGAGTGGAGCATCCATGTTGATGGGTTGTTCATAAAATAGAAAAAAGGATATCTGTTTACATAAAAAAATCTCCAACCCACTACATGTGCTTTATCAATACAATGTTTTACAGTTACTTTGGTCCGAAGAACCACAATGGGTTAAAGTTGAATTTTTTAAAATATTATTCTTGTTTTTGCTATAAATGTCTGACAGTGTCCTTGTTAATATGTAACTGCAAACATTTCATGTATCTTGAATTTCAATTTTATTTTTTATGAACAATCTGAACAGTATAATTAAGATAAAATGTAACATTATAACACATTTCACTGGTTGTATTGCTAACTCACAGATACATTACTGATAATGAACATTAATTGACTGAAAATCTATCAGATAAGTCTTTTTTTTTTAAACTCAAGACCTACTCAAGATTTTTATTTATTTATTTGTCTGTTTATTTACACATTTTAATGTTTTATTACTTGGTAATCCTGCCTACAGTGTTTCCTCGCTGCAAATGAATGTTTCCTCAGTTTGTGTTTTTTGTGAGTGCTGTTATCATTGAGTGTGTTATTGCTTACATTTATTAGTTTTTGTAATAAAAAGCTTTTGTATGAAAAACATATTTAGTTCTGATTGATGTATTTTACTGAGCACCATCACTTCTCAGAATCAGAATCAGAAATACTTTAATAAATCCCAGGGGGAACACTCCAGATATACAAACAACATATATATATACAACATTCAGCACAAAAAATATAAAAGAAAATATATATATACATACAAGATCAAATGTACAGTATTAATGTGCAAAAAGTGCAAAAGAATGATTGTCTATGTTTTGAGTCAGAATTACAGAGGGGGGGGTGTCTGACTCTCTGAGGGAGGCGTTATAGAGATTGATGACCACAGGCAGGAATGATTTCCTGTGGCACTCTGTGGTGCATCTGGGTGAGAGGAGTCTTCTGCTGAAGGTGCTCCTCTGCTGGGCCAGTGTGTCGTAGAGAGGGTGAGAGACATTGTTCAAGATGGACTGAAGCCTGGACAGCATCCTCCTCTCTGCCACGGTCGTCAGGGTGTCCAGCTCCTCCCCCTACGACATCAGGCCCTCCTGATCAGTTTGTTTAGTCTGTTGGTGTCTGCGACCTTCAGCCTACTGCCCCAGCATGTGACAGCGAAGAAGATCGTACTGGCCACAACAGACTCATAGAACATCCTCAGCATCGTCCGGCAGATGTTAAAGGACCTCAGCCTCCTTGGTAAAAAGAGTCGACTTTGGCCCTTTTTGTAGACCGCCTCAGTGTTTCTAGTCCAGTCCAACTTATTATTAAAGTACACCCCCAGGTACTTATTCTCCTCCACAGTGTCCACAGGGACCCCCTGGATGGAAACAGGGGTCACAGGTGTTTTTGCCCTCCTCAGATCCACTATGAGCTCCTTAGTCTTTGTCACATTGAGCTGCAGATGATTCAGCTCAGTCCAAGTTGCCCACCACAGTCCTATATTCACTGTCATCACCCTTATCTATGCAGCCAACTATTGCTGAGTCATCAGAAAACTTCTGAAGGTGGCAGGACTCTATGCAATAGTTGAAGTCTGAGTTGAAGAGGGTGAAGAGTAAGGGAGAGAGGACCGTCCCCTGTGGGGCCCCAGTGTTGCTGACCACCCTGTCAGACACACAGTTCAGTAGGCATACATACCGTGGTCTGCCCGTCAGGTAATCAACAATCCAGGACACGATTGGGGCCTCCACCTGCATCACAGCCATCTTCTCACCCAGTAGAGCCGGACGGATGGTGTTGAAAGCACTGGAGAAATCAAAGAACATGACTCTCACAGTGCTCGCCGGCTTATCCAGATGAGTGTAGACTCTGTTCAGCAGGTAGATGATGCTGTCCTCAACTCCCAGGTGGGGCTGGTAGGCGAACTGCAGTGGATCGGTGAAGGGCCTGACCATAGGCCTTAGCTGCTCCAGGACGAGCCTCTCCAGGGTCTTCATAATGTGGGACGTCAGAGCCACTGGTCTGTAGTCCTGAGGGCCGCTGGGACGCGGCGTCTTTGGAGGTGCAGGCTCAGGCTGAAGACTTGGCTAAGTACTCCACACAGCTGGGGGGCACAGGCTTTAAGCACCCTGGGAAATACACCATCGGGGCCTAGTAACATAACAACGTACATGGTTACATGTTTAACAAGAGTCTACAGCCATGCTAGCAGCTCTGTGAGGTTGTAAACCTGAGCACAAAAAATCCTGCAGGTATGAGGATACCATGAATGTCTGCACTGAGTAACCCATTCAGTAGATGTTGAGAGATTTCCCTGGATAAGTGAAAACGTTGAGCTGCTGGTGAAACTGGAACACCAACGTCATTCTGATTCATCCTCTGGGCTCCATGGATACAGTATGTGGACTCAATTTCAATCATTCCTAGAGTTCAGTCAGCCAACTCACATTTGAAATGTTTATTAAAGCAGTATAGCATATTTAGATTCTGGCATCTAGGCTCCGACCTCATCATTGCCCGCAGATATGTTTACATAGAGATATTGGGGAGTGATGAGCAAATACTCTAAACCCCAGCCGGAGCCTACAGGTGGATGCTGGGGTGGTGGGGGGGTTTACAGAGCAGCAGCAGGAGCAGCAATACAGATGCAGGGCAACAGCAGCATTGACAGAGCAGAGGAAGAGCTGGGAAATTGTGCAGTTTAAATAGAGATTGCCAGATTGTAAGGGAGCGCTTGGTTAGTGATTATGAGCATTTGTCTGTTGTTATTGAAGAGTCATTTTTTCATTGTTAAAGTTCTTGTGAGTCTCTTGTGAGGATATATATAAATCATGTAATTTGCTATTCACTTTTATAAAACTGGTCTAACCATCATAACCACATTAAGATTTACAGCAGATGATGTTTGCACTCACAAGAAGTACAAAACGTTTAATGTCATCATGTCTGTTCTGATGTAGCCAGGTGGTAATATTTAATATGTCATTAATCCTAAAAGAATAACAGCTTAAAAAGTACCTATACCTATAATTCACTGTTACAGTTGTGTTAATACTGTTGTATTACTTTAAGGTTGTTACTGTCACGTCTGTATGTTACATTTGTAGCTGGAGCCAGGCCATGCTTAGCTTAGCATAAAGCTTTCAAATAAAGGTTAAAAAACAAACAAGCAAAGAAAACCTACAATTTCAACACTGTTTTAAAGATTATGAATGACAATAAATAAGGCGACTACAAGTGTATTTTATCTAGCAGAGAAGCTGCCTTAAAGGCATCACACTGGATCAAACAAAACATTTAAAAACTACAGTAATAATAATCATTTTCCCCACAATCAAATCACATTCTCAGTTGCTACATAAATGTAAACCATACATTAAAGAAAACATGTGTTTTGCTGTTTTGACATCCATCTTGTGAGTTTCTCTGTGATGAGATGTGTTCACATGATTCTGTGACATCAGTTTGGAAGTCAATCATGGCCCAATATGCACAGGTTCAGGGGTCAGGAGAATATTTTAACCAGAAAATATGACACGTCACCACTAGATGGTGTTTAAACTCAAGTAATACTGACATACTGAAACAGGGCAGAACTGCATGCTGCACATTTGCATCTGAGCATTTATGTCACAGGCTCCAGACCATCAACCATAAGGATCAGTCACCCTCTGGTGGCTGACTGCAGTATAGGTAATACTAGTATACTAATAACAGCGCCAGGTCTCATTTGTCCTCTAATAACTATAACTATATATATATAACTCTCCTTACTCTGTGCTCTCTCTCTCTCTCTCTCTCTCTCTCTCTCTCTCTCTCTCTCTCTCCAAAGAGGAGGAGCAAGAGAGTTGTTGGATGTGCCACCCCCACCTGTCTAAGTCATTGTCTCCGCCCAACAACAAAGTGAAAGTAGAAATGCTTCTGAAGAATCCACCATGAAGTTTATCTTACTCTGTCTTTGTCTTCTGTTTCTGACTGCAATAACTCTTTGTGATGAAAAAGGTAAGAACGTCTGATTGTTAATTATTAATGAATTATTAAAGCCGCAGTGTCAATGTAAACCCATTGATTACAGTACAGTTCCTCATGAGGAGCGTTTATCGTTTCCTGATTCAGATGTCCTTCCTGAATGTGCCTGTAACTGTATTATTGAACTTTATTTCAACTGGAGATTGTTTTATAGTGTTTCTACTGTGTGTGTGTGTGTGTGTGTGTGTGTGTGTGTGTGTGTGTGTGTGTGTGTGTGTGTGTTTGTGTGTGTGTGTGTTTTCTTCATGTGATCATACAGTCATTCAGCTGCTGAGAGTCGCGTTTCCCTCGCACGTGTTCCGTCAGCATGCAGACAGTAAAGAGATCTGTTCAAAGTCACATTGACCACAGGCCCAGTCTGCATTGGTCCAGCGGGCCCTGAACCCCCAAATGATCAGAACCAAAAACGCATCATACAATATTTATTCTTGTAGTTGTTAAACAGTGAACTTTTGACTTAAAACAGATAATCATAGGTGGCGATATTGAGAGTCCACGAGGCCTATCTTCCTTTTGAACAATGAAAATCAGCCCATTAAAATAAATAAAAAGCAAGCGGTTAGAAATACCGACCTCGCTGTGCGGTCCTGCCGACCTCTCGATGGACTGCTGCGGAGGAGAAGAAGAGAGCTCCATCAGTCGCAGAGTTCACAACCAGAGGAGACTCACACACACAGACTCGGGTTGTCTTTGGTCACTTTCCTTTACTTATCTCATCGCGGTCGTTGGACCAAGTCCTTCCTTTACGCCATCGGCTTCTCTGGTTCCAGTCGCAAACACCCGCAGACTCAGCTCGCGTCTCTCTTCCGCTTGTCTCTCTGTCCCTTCCGTTCACCTGCTGCTCACCTGGATCACTTAAGAAACACACTTTGGAGGGTGTGGTCCAGCTAATCCCAGCTGTTTGCCATTCACAGAGTCCAATATTCAATAAAATCACAGCCATGAAACCATGCAACAATACAAAATCATATACTAATTAAAACATGCAAACACATCAATACCAATAGAACCAAATGTAAAATACATGAAACTCATATAGAAAGCATAAAATCAAGTCATGTGATGACTAAAAGCAAGTGAATAAAACTATTTAAAGCTGTCCCACTCTGACACATGCATGCTGATGTGTTCTGACTCTGAAGCTGTTGTGGTCTGTGTAGAATATTGTGCTGTTTCAGGACAACTTTAAATTAGAACCATCAGAAAGTACAGCATGGAAACACCAGCCAGAAGTTTTACTTTAATTTTCCAATTTTACGAATTCTGAAAGCAGAAATGTTTTGGTGTTGTCCCCTCTTCCCCGTTTCAGTGATTATGCTTTTAATTGATAACACTGCTACTACAATTACTGTCACATGATCAATATCATACTAATAAGAGTAACTGAAAACTAGTAATTAATTACTTGATAAGTAAATAATGATAACAAAGATTAGTAAAATGTATCTGAATCTATTGCAATAATGTGATAATATGGTAATTATAAAATAACAAACTAACCTAATGGTGTCATTGTTATTAATTTCAATCATTGGTTTCACACAACATTACTCTGGAGACTATTAAGTAAACTGCATGTAAACTGTTTAAC